ATGAATGCATATATGAGCACATAAATGCCTAAACTCCATCATGTGTAGTCAAGAGTGTCGGCGATCGAGAATCGAGGCACGTTTCGTCACTTTGAATACGAGACGTCCCTCGTTTCCAGTGTTCAAACTAGCTCCTATCCCGAACACGATGCAACAAACATGGCATGCACAAATGCAACTCTAGCATACAATCCAATGCTATGCAACTAAGTGATGCAAACATGCAAAGGATGACATGTAAACACGCAACTAGCGTACAGAATGCTATGAACTAATATTGGCATACTCAATGCACGTGGTACTTAGTATACACAATGCACCTAAGAACTAACATACATAATGAGATGAACAAGGCATGCACAATGTAATGATCAATCATGCGACAATGTGGCATACTCAATGCTATGGAATACAATAGCATACTCGATGCAAAATGGACTTAAACCAAAATGAATGGACCTCAGCCACACCCAAATCAGTGGCCAAACATGATGAAAACAAGACTCCAAAACTCATGCTAGCATACACAACGCAAGGACCTAAGCCCAAGGCACAAAAACACAACTCTACAAAAGCATGGAAAGGATGAAATATGGCATACAATGACACATGTTCCAGCTCTGAAATGGCATACAAAATGGCTCCGAAATGACTCCGAATCATGCAAACAACTCACACAACGCGTGTTGAACGGCTCAAGCATTGAAACTAGTGAAGTGCATTACACTATAGGCATGCAAAATGATGCTCAAATGATGAAACCAACCCCAAACATACCCTATGCAGGCCCAAAACAATAGCAAAATGGGTTGGGATGATGGCTTAAAAAGCACAAAAGTGAAGCTCATGCAATGGCTCGCAAATAGGGCATAAATGCACAACTCTAAAGAGCACTTAAAACATGGAAAATATGGAAGTGTAGCACCCCTATAAGCTCTGAAATATCATGCCCAATGATGCCAAAACATGTAAATAGCTCAAGTTAAGCATGCAAGGGACCTCCAAACTCAAAGCTAGTCAATACTATTACACAACAAGTATGCATGGCTGGCATTTTTCGACCAAGAGGCCTCAAGACAGAGCTAAGGCAGCCCAAAATATGAACAAAATCAGTTTAAAGTGTGGCCAAAATATGCTAGAATTGAGGGCCAAAACAACATGCATTGTGAGCTAGTGAACATGAGTTACACTACAAGCACATGAAGCATGTGAAGGACTACCAAACCAAGCAAAACAGAGTCATGGCATGCCAAGTGATGGCCAAAAACCAACTGAAACAAGACCAATACATGCGAGAATGACATGCTCCTTTGATAAGCTATGAAAGGGATTACTCTACACATGCAAGAAGCTAGCAAAAGGGGACCAAACCAGCTATGGTCAGAGCCTAGGCAGGTCCTAGAAGTCACCAAAAAGTGCCTGAACTAGGCCCCCAAATGGTATAAACATATGCTCCTTTGGTAGGCTAAAAATGCTAGTAAACAAGACAACAAGAGAGAGGGTCACCCCTCTCTGGTTTAGGCCTTCAAAGCCACATTCTCACCACTAAAAATCCACTGGATTTTAGTGGTAGGAAGGCCAAGCAAAGACTAGCTCGAATGCCTTATGGCATGGCACAAAATAAAGCTAAATAGAGCATGCAAGAGGGTAGATGACCCTCAACACCAAAAGAGCCTTAAACAAACATGAAAATCACTTAAATATGAACCTTTTTCAGTTGACAACAAAGCTCAAATAAGCATGCAAATGAGGCTAAGAGAAGGATCAAAATAATGCTTAAAAGAGGGAAAAGTGATTACCCTTGGAGCTCAGCAAAACCAGCCACCTTTGGACCAAAAACCAGCTTTTTGAGACCTCTCAAAACCCTCCAGCAACTTAGTCACAATGGTGGAGGTGTATGGTTATGAGGTGGTGTGCAATAGGCCAAGAACAAAACACTTTCTAAGCCTAAAATATAGAGACAAAGAGAGAGATATATGCTTTGCCTTAGAGCAATTTTCTCAACCTGGTATAAGGAGGGGGAGGGCCTCTCTTATAGGCAAACAAAGCCAAAGCTTCTTCAAGAAGCTAAAACAAGGCTCAAGATCCTCCATACAGCTGGCATGCACTCAGACAGACAAAGCAGGAGGAAGCTGGCTGACCAGAAGAGGTGGTCGGCCGACCACTTTCCCTGGTCGGCCGACCAGGGCAAGTGGTCTCCCAGATAAAAACTGGTCGGCCAATGCAAATGGTGGTCTCCACATTGAAAGCAAGCTAGTCGTGTGGTAGGAGACCAGCAAATGTTGCCCAAAGACCAAGAAAACCAACTTCCTGACAAGAAAATCGACTGGCGGAGAAAGTGGTCTCCAAGGAGAAAAGGTGGTCTCCTACCCTTGTACCATTTCCCAAACAAGAAAAACAAGGTTCATGCCAAAAATGAACCAACACAGATGCAAAACGAGAGTTCGGGGGGCAAAGCGCGCGGCCGGGTGCCCCGAAAACTGGCTGTTGAGCATAAAAGGTGGCGTATGACCGCAAAGGTGGTCTCCCGGACCACAGTGTCCCTCTAGACAGAGGAAACAAGGTGTGTTCCAAAAACCATGCCAAACGGAGAATGTTAAGCGGTCCCGAACCGAGGCGCATGACCGACGGCTCCGAAAATCAGAAACTAGTCTCCAAACGGGAACAGTGGCCTACGACCACGAAAAGTAGCCCACGGCCATTGAGAGATGGTCTACAAGACCTCTCCCTCCCTCCGAGAAGAGAAAACAAGACTTAGTCCGCAGACCGAGTCAAAGCACAAAAAGTTCCGAGGCTCGGAGGGTAAGGCTCTCAGCCAAAACTCTGAAACTTCAGAACGAGCACAACATGCACCATCACCGAGCGCTCAATCGATGACGTCTGAGTCTTAAGGTAGGTCAAAAATGGGGTGTCTACACCATGCAAAATAAAAATAAATAAATTTGAAAAACACATACAAATAATAGCAAGTTACAGGAAAACATATTACAATCATTCTACAAAAACAACATAAAACAATAAATTCATTTTATACACTCATATCTCTTAACTATTCAAAATTTTGATTAGTTTTGCATCATATTTAAAAAAAGAATATATGCCATTTGACATGCATTTATCATTCTCTTGTCGAAAGGAGCTATCTTTTCTTTTTCTTTAGACATTAGGTTGACCTTTTCTTTTTCTTTTGCCTAACAAATATAAATAAAATATTCAAAAGATTAAAAAAATCTTATAGAATCTTATATAAATAAAATACATACAATGTTTGACTTGATTTTGTACTTATCGCACGAACACGGATAACATTAAGGTCATGCTCATCACGAATGACTACACCAACATTTCTAGATAGAGTTGTAGGAGGAGGCCTACAAAAATAGATTGTGAACAAATGAAAATTTATATAATAAAGTAGTAATAGTAAGAGTAAAAAATTCAAGATTGTCTTGGGTAAAATTTTTTTTTTCTTTTATCAATTTGGTGTTAAAGAAGATTGTCTTGGGTTAATACATTTCTTTGATCTTTCTCTTTCTCGTTCTCGTCGCAGGCGTTGTCCCAATTGGTATGCAGAACATGGCTTTTGATTTTTTTCACGTTCTCGCCGTGCACATTGGGCCAATGAAGCTTTTGATAACACATTATCATTGTGTGCCTAAAATGAGAATATTATATAAGAAGGTGCATAAAATGTGAAAATTAACTAACTTGCTTCCTTTTCATCATGTATTTTTTCTTCCTTTTAACTAACTTTTCGTCTTCACTCGGTTAAGTTGTTAGTCATATAAGAACCAATGCATGTATTGATAAAATTTAAAAAGGGAGGAAAAAATAATTTGAAAATACATTAAGCACACAAAACTGCAAACTCACTATGCACGCACTTATTGGTTTAAAGACACTACCCATCTCTTTACAAAATGTACGATGAAAAGGTAAATATTAGATCATTGGGTACGTGAAATGTGAATATTAGCGTGTAATGTCTTGTACTTTTCTTTTCACTCTTCTTGTTGTTTCTGTTATATTAAAATGTATTTTTGTCTTTTTCTTCTTTTCTTAAGAACTTCTTATAAGAAAAATAAAGATTAAAAAAAATTATATTATGTAGTTTCATTTTCATCACATATTTGTTCTTTCTTCTTATTTTCCTTTTTCGTTTTCTTCTATTATATTTTTATGGATAATGTTTGAGAGCTCGAAACATTGCCCCCCCGAATCCTCCTAATGCCCAAAACGACGTCGTTTTGGGCATTAGGTTTTTTTTTTCTTCTTTTTTTTCTTCCATTTTTGACCATTTTCGATCTGAAACGCAGAGGGAAGAGGGAGAGGGAGAGGGAGAGAGAGAGAGAAGAAGAAGGAAGAAGAGGGCTGCGAGCCTCGGGAAAGAGAGGGAGAGAAGAGAGAAGAGGGAATGGAGACACACACACACAAATGGCCCCTGCATTCCGGCCGAGCGTCCGATCGTCGCAGCTCCGTCGATCGTCGGTCCGCCGTCTGCCTCCGCCGCCGCCGTCTGCCTCTGCTTCTTCTTCTTCCCTTCGTCTGCTTCTTCTTCTCTGATTGAACCAAAAACAGCATCGTTTTTGGTTTCGGGGGATTAGGGGGGGCAATGTTTTGAGCTACGTAGCACGATCCTATTTTTATTATGCTATGTTGTAGATGCAACATATTGTACAAATGCAACATATTTTTATCATACAAATAGACAAATATATTAAAAATTCAAATTAATGTTCATACAAATGCATTAGCATGTTGTACAAATGCTTACTTTAACATGCTTTCAAAAAAAACATTTCACATTCAATAAAAAGAATTGAATAAATTTTTGAAAAAGAAACTTTTGAAAAATGTACATAAAAAAGAGTATATGACACTATGCAATTCCTAAAAAAATCTATATAATATTCGAAAAAGAAACTTTTAAAAATTGTTGAGAAACCATACCATGGGATGTGCATTTTCCTTTCCTTTGCCATAAGGAATAGCTTTTTTTGTTTCCTTTAATATTGCTTTGTCTTTTTCCTTTGCCTTTGCCTATAAAAAATAAGTAGAATATATTTATAAATTATTTTTAAAATGATAAAAAAATACATGTCCAATGTTCAAGTGACTTTTATGCTTACCTCATGAATGCGAATAGTATTAAGGTCACGCTCATCGCGAATAACAACATTAACATTTCTTTTTTGAAGAAATCGAACCTATACATACAAAAACTTTAGAGTAATAAATAAAACTTTATACACATAAATAAGAAAATTAGTAAAGGGAGGAGATATTACGGTTCGGTGTAAGTCCCCATCCACCTATAAAGTATGAGGAAAAAAAATAATTAGAATAGTGATATAAGAGAGGTACTTAAATTTATATGAAGAGAAAAAAGAAGAAAAAAAACTTACTTCACCAAAAATAGTGATATTGTTCATAACTGTTGTACTTCAACCTAAAAATGTTTGGTTATATAATTTTAGACACAAAGAAACAAAAAAATTAGCAATAATAAAAGTTAACATGGATTTCATTGGCAATGAAATGTTAGTTCCAAATCTGTTGCTACCATATCGAATAATAAAATTCAAAATTTTATTTAAATAAATAACTACCATGAATAGAAAATACTTAACGGGTTACAATCAAGAGGAAAAAAAAAATAAAAATAAGAGCAAAATTAGAAGGGTACAATTTAGAAAAAGGTACGTGCCTTCTCTATTTAGAAAAATAAAAATACTCGGTGAATTTAGAAGGGTACAATAAGAGCAAAAATAAAAATAAACTTCTAAGAAAAAGAAAAAGGTCAACAGATACCAGAGGCACGTGCCTTCTCTATTTAGAAAAATAAAAATACTCGGTGAATTTAGAAGGGTACAATAAGAGCAAAAATAAAAATAAACTTCTAAGAAAAAAAATAACCCCTCTCTCTCTCTCTCTCTCTCTCTCTCTCTACATTCTTTGAGAAACCCATAATCAAACTCACATTTTCTGAGTCAACTCAGCATTTAGAATAGATGTTTTTTAATAATCACATTAAAATGATAAATTAAAACTGGAGCACAATAGAATCTTCTAAATTTGAACTTTTCTCTTTGTTAACTGACTTCAATTTTATAGAAATGAAATTAAAAACAAAATCAAAACCCATTATAATCATAAATATTTTGAAGTTCACCATTTATGAGTTGGAAAGTTCAAACAGAAATTTATGCCAAAAAAAAAAAAAACAAAAATTCACCAGATAACAAAGTTATTCTATATGCAATAATGAATAATTATTTCATGAAGCAAATAAAGTAATACACACATATACATTGACCAGAATTATTGAAAAACCTAGAATATTATACTCCCTTACTAAGGTGTAAAAAAAAAGAAAAAAACATAAACTCTCTTGCCATATTACACATAAATGTTAAAATGTCAAGTTTTTCAAATTTTTCTTTTAATTAGGAACTCTAGATATTCAAAAAAAAAAAATAAATAAATAAAAAAAACAGTCCCTTTCTTTTTAGAATCACACAACAAATATACTACATTTGAATGGTGCAATTTTTTTATTTTTTTTTTATGTTAAATACATTTTTTTGGGTTAAGTTAAATACTTGGTGAATTTGATTCAAAGAAAAACGGATTATGTTAAATACTTGCGTTAATTTAAATACTTGTAAGTTTAATACATTTTTTTTTTCATGAAGACAACTAAAGTAATACACACATATATACATTGTGAAAAATCTAGAAATCCCCTAAATGTTGATTTGTGATTATGTATCAATTTTAAGCAGTAAACAACAATCCCAATCAAATAATCAAGACAAATCGACACAAAAAACCAAGGGCAACAGCCACAAAACAATCCACTAAGAAGATATAAAGGAATTACACAGGTATACTCTCAGTTACCTAGTGAATCCACGCCCGAATTGAACCAACCTCTATGTGTCTCTTCCAACCCCGTCTTCACCTCGGAATTGTCTAGCCCCTAGATGTTGATTTGTGATTATGTATCAATTTTAGGCAGTAAACAACAATCCCAATCAAACAATCAAGACAAATCGACACAACGATTTTACGTGGAAAAACCACAATTGGACACCTCCAATTGTGATAAAAAAATCACGGGCAACAGTCACAAAACAATCCATTAAGAAGATATAATGGAATTACACAGGTATACTTTCAATTACCTAGCGAATCCACACCCGAATTGAACCAACCTCTATGTGTCTCTTCCAACCCCGTCTTCACCTCGGAATTGTCTTGACGATGAGCCACTCCGGAATCCACCAAAGCTTCATGCTCGAATTCTTCAGAATCCACCGAAGAACAACTCTTCTTTTATGTAGAACAAACAAATAATCCTTTGATGTATACTCTTTAAACCATCAGTTGAATACTCAATCAAAACATCAAAGAAAACTAGCAAAATATCCCCAGATATAAACCTTAGAATCCAAAAGGAAGATCTGGAGGACTTTTCCAAGTTTTGGGAGAAACCCAACTACTTACAGAAAACCAAAGTAATCCTGGTTTTGGAAGAAAACCAATTCTTTATAGAAAACCAAAGTAATCTTGGATTTGAAGAAAACCAATTCTTTATAGAAATCCAAAGTAATCCTGGATTTGAAGAAAACCAATTCCTTATAGAAATCTGTGTTCGCACGGTCCGCTCAAGTGTGAGACTTCCCACTCGAGCGGAGGCTTCAAAATTGTGTGATTCATATAGGCTTCACGCTCGAGCGGACGTTTCCATGCTCGAGCGGAGAATCACACCATCCAGTACTTTTTCAGGCGAAGCAGAGATGTTGTGAGCTTACAATCCCCGCTCGAGCGTCCCTTTCCCCGCTCGAGCGGGACAACCAAAATTAGAAAATTTGGAAAACTAGATCCTGTTACACCCTCGGTTTTGATCCATGGAAATTGACAAAGGCACGATTTGGGTTGGATTTGCATCTAATAAACTCAAAGCCTCACAGAAATAAAAGGTGTGAAAACAAATACAACTGAAAGGAGTTTTGTCAAACGGGGTTGCCAAGAATAAAACCTAACAATCTCCCCCTTTGGCAATGCCGTGACAAAACACACCTAACAAATAAAATCCTAAACACCCCAACCCATTACAGCCACCAAAACCCAACTTCTTTCTCAAGGTCTTGATCTGCAAAACAGTTATTAGTGCCACAATCTCCAAAACAACTATTAGTCCCACAAGAGTATATGAAAAAGCAATAGATATATGACACGATTATCTTGAAACATGAGATGAAAAACGTGAATAGATGAAACTAAGACTCATGAAAAACGACTCTCAATCAACAAGAGCAAGATCATAAACCAACCTAAGTCAAGAGAACCAAACTCCCCCTCACTAAAAGCAACCACAAACACTGAAAACAGTGAACAAGAAGAAAACGACAAAAATAATATGGTGGAGCAAGCAAGAAATTTCAGATTAGTACCTTAAAACACACAAGACTATCCAAGAAGCACAATTACTAGTAAACACAATGTGCACAATCTATAGAAGATTCCTCATGAAAGAAAGAGATGCATTATGTGAAAAGTATAGATCCCATGAGAAAGGTGTGTGTGTGACTCTTGGAGTTCGACAAACACTAGATTCAATTCCTAGAAGTGATATGAAAGCTGGACCTCCGACAAGAGAATCTAAGCACAACAAAGGAAAGTCAAACCACTAGGAATCAAGGGGTATTTGGTGAGTAAAGGCGGAGGCTCCCCCTCAATCAATGAATCTTTTTTTTTTCTATTTTTTCTCACATCTTTTTCTTTTATTTCTTTTGCACATTTTTTTCCTCCTTTTCTTTTGCACATCTTTTCTTTTCTTTCTTTTGTACATTTTTTTCTTTTCTTTCTTTTGCACATTTTTTCTTTGTGGCTGACACGCTCAAGAGTATGGAAACCGAACCAGAGAAGCATGGATATAATAAGGATGGCCTGGTTGGTGACTCTGAGGTAGCCTTTTCCTTATGGCTAGACTACAAAGAATAGAGGGGAAAGCCGTGGAGATGCAAAAAGATGGAAGGTGGTTAAGAGACTCAACATCACCCATGATATGCTAGTATAGGTCAATTCCTCTAGAAACGCAAAAAATCAATGACAGAAGTCCATAGAGAAAAAATAATCATTATGGTGGAAGACTCCAAAAATTTGCTAATCCAAGAGTGTGTACAGAATCAGACATACTAATCAAAAAACACACACTCCAAAATGAGTAATGACCACAGAAAGCACACACATATTAACAGGTAATGGATATTCTTATCAATTCCAATATGCACCAAGGATCACTCAAAAATTTCAAACTTGCAAAACCATACTAAGAAAATCTTTTTGGAATTTTTTTTTCTTAACCAAAGCAAAAGCAAGACAAAAAATGAACAAGCACAAATTTTTTTTTTCATTAATAAAGCAAGAAAAAAAAATGAACAAGTACACAAGTAATGACAAAAAAAAAAAAAAATACACAGAAACCCAAAAACTAAAAAGAATAAACAAATTAACGCAAGTCAAGTTTTCTCACTCAAACTGCTTTAGTACGAACAAAATTGTGAGAATTGCGGTTCTTGGGTAGTGTCTTGACGTTGTGGTTCCTTTTTCTTTCAACGGGAACCCGTCTCGACTTGGTTTCCAACATCCTATTTTTAGGTCTAGGCAAAAATACTCTCCCATGCAACTTATAACAATAAGGGCGAATATGACCATGCACACCACAATGATGATAGATAAATACAGGGTGTACCTTCTTTTCTTTTACCTTACCAACTCTAGGAAGTTTGAGAAGTCCATCCTTATGTTGAATTTTTTGTTCTCCATTTCCTTGAGTTCTTGTATCATTAGATGTTGATGCACTCTGTTTTTGCTCTTTCTTACCACCAAAGCCAATGCCACTCTTGTCTGAACAAATTTGTTGAGACCCAATAATATTGTCCAAAGTCTTTGATCCTCTGTTCCAAAGACCAATGGTAGCCATAGCACACTTGAGTTATTTCTTTTTCTTGATCATAAGTTCTTCCAAAGCAACTTGAGACATCTCGAGAGTTTTAATTTTTTCTTCATATGTTGCATAGATCTGTTGTAGCTCATTCCTCTCTGTCACACAAGTCAAGAGTTTTGCACAAAGAGCTTGTAGATCATTAGCTATCTTGATGGCATCAATCCTAGCCTCGGAAATCTCCTCATTTAGTTTGACACACTTTCACATGCTGTGAGTTTCATAGTGAGTTTGTCATTCAATTTGGATAACTTAAGAGACTCCTTATACAACTTTTTATAAGCTTGCTCAAGCTCTTCA